TCTCGGATCGGGCTTCAGGGCACTTGGAGGTTCATGGGTAGTTATAGGGTTTAGGGTTTAGGGTTTAGGGTCTAGGGTTATAGGGTTTAGGGTTTAGGGTTTAGGGTTTAGGGTTTAGGGTTTAGGGTTATAGGGTTATAGGGTTATAGGGTTTGGTGTTTGGGGTTTAGGGTTTTAAGGGTTTAGGGTTATAGGGTGTAGGGTTTAGAGTTTAGGGTTTAGGGGCTTAGGGGCTTTAGTGTAAACCCCTACACTTTCTTAAACCCTAAACCTTACATAGGCCAAGAAGTATCAGGAGGTTGAGATCTGAAGCATGCTGGTCAGCCCTAAGCCCTAAACTCTAAAATCTCAGAACATGCCTAGACCCTAAACCCTAAAGATCCCTAAACCCTAAACCCTAAGTATCCCTACACCCTAAGCCCTAAATTCGAAATATCCCTGAACCCGAAGAGTTTGCCCGGCTGCTTCAGAGGACTTCGAGCAGAAATACGAGAAGGACCCGCAGAAAATCCTGCAGAGCATCAGTAGGTCCGACTCTCTCCCCGTCAGGCCCGAGGTTGAGGGGTTAAGGGGTTTAGGGGTTTAGGGTTTAGGGTTTAGGGTTTAGGGTTTAGGGTGCAGGGTTTAGGGTTTAGGGCTGTTCAGGGTTTGGGGTTTAGGATTTTGGGGTTTAGGACTTTGGTTTTAGGGTTTAGGGTTAATGATTTAGGGTTTAGGGTTTAGGCTTTAGGGTTTCGTGAGCCCCGGACCCCAGGACCCTAAAGCTCAAAAACCCGAGACCCTAAACCCTATTTTAGGGGCCTTAATAATTAGCTATGCCATTCTGGGGGTTCCTTATTACGATTATGGTATAATCTACACCAAAACCCTGTTCTAATTATGAAGGCCGCTACATTAGAGGCCCTAGATCTGTATAGACAATCCCTAAACAGGGTTGAGGGGTTTTGCCCCGATAAATCCTGTGAGGCTCGAGTTTCAAGGTAAAGTGCGGCCGTTCTCCTGCGAATGCCTGACGATGGCTTTTTTCATGACCATCTTTCTCGTCTTCGTTCTCCAGGTGGGGCTTTCCGAAAATAGGGGACCCTAATATAGTACCCTAATTCATAGGTTCCCTAATTATAAGGACCCCCAAAATAAGGTACCCTAATTTTCTGAAACTCCCAGGTGGGAGTGTCTGAAAAGCAGGGGATCCCTTCGGTTTGCTGGGAATCCTCACATCCAGGGTCTTTTTTTCCTCCTGTGGGGTTCAAGATTAGGCTGCCTCGCTGTTTGCCAGGTTAGTCGTGTACAGGATTCTTACAGCCTGGCACAGATTCATCGCAGCGAGCTGATGGGCAGGGAGTGGTACGAGTATCACCCCACACGCGTCATGGACTTCCGAAACATCTCCCTGACACCGAAGAGCTACGAGCAGTGGATGCGAAAGGCCGTCTACGAGGGTGAGATGCGCTGCGTGGGGAAGTTGGAAGTCGATGCAGACAACTGCATTCCCGATCTTCGCTCCGACGGCGACCCTTTCGTTCGCGAGGAGTGGCAGCTCTTTACACGCTCCCTTAGCTCTGAGGCGGCCTTGAAGCTGAGCGCAAGACCAGAGACAGCGGACCTGAACACCTTCTTCGACCAAAGCCCACCAGCTGCAGCCGAGGGAATGACCATGGGCTTTATCCCTAAAGGGACCGTGCCCGTGGAAACTTTGTCATAGTTGGGTAACATTTTACATTTTTAAGGGTACTTAAACCCAATAGGGAATATACATTAAAATGTTTAATACTGCCCCAACCATGAACAAGGAAACGGCTGTGCGCTTCCGTACCTGGAATGTGGGAGTCATGCCCAACAACCACGCGCGGATCATCCTGCAAATTCCCTGCTGCTTCGGTTGTTTCCAGAATCCTGTGGTAAAGGGGTCTCGGATTTTGTCGTGCGGGGGTGTTAGGGTGTGGTTGTGTTGAACTTTACACTATGTCATGCCATAGGGGCCTATTGCAGTACAGTGTCGCTATATATTTATTCCTGATAAAGTTGCTTATTATGACGATTCCAATGGAGAATATAGTAGGTTATCATAGCCTACTTCAGGCCCCTTTAAGCAGGTGGCTGGATGAGACTAAAGCTCTGAAACACTAAGGGTCCATGTACCCAAATAGTATATACTTTGACCCCAGCAGCCATGTAGGGACTACCTTAAGTGTATATTAGTTGGGTACATGGACCGTTTAGGGTGCCTAAACCCTATAAACCCCTAAATCCCAAACCCTGAAACCCAAAGCCCCTAAACCCTTAAATCCAAAGCCCCTAACCCTAAACCCTTAAACCCTTAAACCCCTAAACCCTAAACACTTAAACCCAAAGCCCCTAAACCCCTAAACCCTTAAACCCCTAAACCCTAAACCCTTAAACCCAAAGCCCCTAAACCCTAAACCCCTAAACCCTTAAACCCCCAAACCCTTAAACCCCAAACCCTTTTACCCAAAGCCCCTAAACCCTTAAACCCCTAAACCCTTAAACCCAAAACCCTTTTACCCAAAGCCCCTAAACCCCTAAACCCTGAAACCCTAAACCCCGAAACCCGGGTATAATTGGACCCTTATGTAAAGGGGGGGGGGCCTTGAAACTCGAAGGCTACACTGCGGTGACCAACGAGCGCTTCAAGGACTTATAAAGTAGCTGAGTGAACGGTTTAGGATGTAGGGTTTTAGGGTTTAGGGTTTAGGGTTTAGGGCTGAGTGGGTTTCCTGCCACTTTAGCCCCTAAAGAGCTTTAAAGAACCAGAAGGGTTAACCTGGTATTCCCTTGCAGTCATTATCGTCCCTATGGGTTTTTATACTTGTACCAGTAGCATACCCCACAACCCGATTTTTTGATTATTAAAGCCCCTGAACCCTAAACCCTACAAGGAGGATTATCCTTTCCAGCTCAACTCAGTGTTCCGCAGCTGCTCCACGACGGATTCTGGGTTCTGGTTCAGCAGCTGTTTGATTTAAGCTAGGGTTTAGGGTTTAGGGTTGGTACCATAGTGAGAGAACTTTCTTTTCGCAACAGATGCAGATAATGGTAATGTAAACTAAGCTCCTGAACTGGAACCCAGGATTGTATGGGCAAGCTGCTACAGGAGCAGCAGGTGTGCTACTCCTTTGATGGTGAGGAGCTCCGACGGAAAAGCCCTAAACCCTAATCCTTAACCCTGCACCCTAAACATCCCTAAACTGATGGTGAGGAGCACCCGGCGGCGTCTGTCACAGGTGCCTCGACCGGGGTTTCCTATGTGTATACGACACAAGAAGGAGCAAATGGTGTCGTCCTAGGGCTGGGTGGGACTCCGGCGGAAGCGGAAACCGTGATGGACCTGCTTCTGCAGGATGCAATCCACCCTATCAGCATGCACCTCGGCTGCAAGCGACTTCAGGCCGGCAGGCGAATCAGGGGCGTTTAGCGTTTTTAGGGTTTAGGGTTTAGGGTTTCCCCGAAGGATGCCACAAGCAGGAAGCCGAACATCGGATACTCTCAACTGGCTTTGTGCTATTCGTATTTTGCTAAGCTTGCTGTTGAGCTCGTAGGTGTAGGTCGTGGCAAATGCAGACTCTTCGTACCATCTAGGCTTATTGTCATAGAATACCCAAAGTTCTGAATCCCTAAATATCTCACATAAGACCATCAAGCACAACATAGGGCACGGTTACAGGGTTAGAGTTAGGATTGTATAGATTTATGAATACTTAAGACTTCACGTGTTTGTTTTGTGCTTGCAATCTGGCTATCTATATGTCAGACCATACCGCAGGGGTCGGAATATCTAGAAGTAGTATTCCCTTTGCGTCCCTGTTTTGCTCTTCACTATATCACTATAATCTACCCCCCCCCCAAGCCGTATTCTGACCGTATTTTAGAGGGCTCAGGGCCGAGAGCTGCATACTTCGGTTTGTACTCCGCAGACAGACTTAGCTATCCCTAAACCGTCAACGTTGAAGCACCTCAAGAAAGCCCTATACATTAATTCAAGCAACTACCCCCTCCTCCCCGAGCACAAAACATACATTATCGGCGAGACGCACAGAAACAGACAGAGACACGTACGAAGACCTCCACCCTAAGCCACGGACCCCAAACCCGAAAGCTCTAAAGCCCTGAACCCCAAATGGAAACTGCACGCGATCCAAGGACCCTTCAGTTCGTCACCTACAACGGCAACATGGACATGCTTCTAGGTTTGGGTTTTATAAGGTTCCTTTTGACGGGGTTACTCTAGTACAACAGTTGCTAGAAGGGCAACGATAAGGGTGTAGTGTTACGGGCCTGAAAAAGGCAGAATGGGGTTTTGGGATACACTTGGCTGTGAAATGATAATATAATTTGTGGCTTCTATACTACCGACTTCAGACGGCTGATAATTTCCCTCAAAGCGTTAATCTCCGGACCCTCAGTAGACCCCTTACGCCTCCTGTTTATTGTGCGGTCTCCTTCTGAAGGGATCCTTGAAGGATTCCTCGCATCACTGTTAATATAGTGGTCTTAATAATTAGGATGGGGTTTGGGGTATATGAAACAATAATTATCAGAAGGAACCCCCAAAACCCTTTTTCTACAGTATATTCCATGAGGATGGCTTGAAGGCTTAGAGTAAACCCCAAAACGTTGGAAACCGGATTAAGGACAAATAGTGCTGGGATTCCCTATACATTTCTCTTTCCAACTGTTGGGCTTCCACTGTACTCTAGACCTTATAGTGTCCAATATTGACTTCTGTTGAAACCGACACCCAGGTTTACACACAGCCGGGTGTCTTTTGAACTGGAGCCAACCGGGGTGCTTTCAAAGAACGTGCACACGGTGGTCTTCCCTCTGAGCTTCGAGCAGCATTTCTTTGGTGGGATTTAGGGCTTTTGGTTTAGGGTTCTTGGTGTGGTTTTGGATATAATTTGTTTTTCAAGACTCGGGGGCCATGGTATGAGGTCAAGCTTCAGACATCACAATAGCCGATTGTGGTTGTAGAAGTCGAATCGCAGCAAGAAGTAGATGATGGCAATCAGCACAATAAGACAAGCAGGTTTGGTGTGGCATCCTTCTTTGTTGTGTTCAAAGCCAGATTTCCTAAGCTCTACACCCTTAACCCGGAAGCCTCGGGGCAACGGCCAGTGTCGTTGTGCAGAGAAGGGTTTGTGGATATCTAGGGTTCAGGGTTTAGGATTTAGGGTTTAGGGCTTATGGATCCACCACGGCACAGAGTCGAGGCTGGAGGTTCTCGTAGCTGCTTGATGTTTCTTGAGATCAGACTTCCTTGGGCGAATTCAGGGTTGGAAGCTTAGATTTCAGAGTCTAGAGCCTTGGCGGCTTTGTTATATGGGTAGCTGTCAATATTATAGTCTTTCTGGGGAACTCTACAATTTTTCTAGTTTGGGAACCCAAAAAGTGTCCTAGTTTTGACAACCATCCCTGTAGGGCAGGGTGTATGGCTGGGCAGGGATCTTAGCTGTGTGCCCTGAACGCTGACCCCCTGGGCTCTCACGGTTAGGGTTTAGGGTTTAGGGTTTAGGGTTTATAAGGGGTCAGCTGTGTCAGGAATGTCTTCACCATGGGCCTCACAGACTTCGCGGAGCAGCGCCAAAATACGAACCATGCGCTGTGCCTCCGCTGAGTACAAAACCCAAAATTAGCTCAAAACTTACACCCGAATCCCTAGAGCCATGAACCCGAAAGCAGATTTAAGTCTAAAACCCCATAAATCCTGATGAGACCCAAGCCTGACTACACACCAGAACCCGACAGTAAACCTTTAAACCCCAGATCCTAAACCCCAGCCCCGAGGCCAAAATCCCGAACTCTCCGCATTTCAAGGCGAGTTTAGAGCCCTAAACCCTAAACCCGAAGGCTAAGTCTTTCGGGCTCAGAAGTCGGACTGGGCTTCGTGCGGGATAGGGTCTACAGGGCTTTCAGGGCTTTGGGGTTGAAGTGTAGGGGGTTCTCGGAGATCCCTTAAGCGTTTAGCGACGTTTAGAGCTTCTGCAGTGCTTCGGTATATAAACAAATAAATAGATAAATAGATAAGTAAATAAATGAATAAACGAAAAATGATAACATACATATATATATATATATGCATACATGCCCGCGTGCTAACCCCTAAACCCCAACCCCAGTCTGTAGCAAAAGACTTCTGAAGCACAACTGGAAACTCCAAACCTGCAAACCCAGACTCAAACCACTGTGTTTCTGTCTGGTGCTTAGTAGGGAATGGGGGAATGGATCCCTATGATAGTCCCTTTAAGGTCCCTTATAGTCGTCCCTATAACCCATTCCCCTATTCCATGCTAAGCACCAGACAGGTTTTGCAACATAAGTGTGCACTTCGAGACACTCATAAATAGTTTAGGGTTTAGGGCTTATGAGAAATAGAATACGTAGAACTTCTGACTCGCCTGTATTGGCTGAAAGTATCACGTTTTGTATGGTTGGCAACTACGCCTCTGACGCCGTCGGATGTGTATTGTAAAGGTTGGTATGAGCAGGCTCTGAAAATGGCCCGGAACCCTACTGTTACAGAGAAAAACTCCGAATGTCAACTCAGACCCATCGGGTGGTTTGTTATCTCCTTCTTTTTGGTGGTGGGGTTGGCTGGGGGGTAGCAGGGGTCCAGCGTTTGGTTCCTTGCAAGGTTTATCACCTACGTCGTTGCCGCAGTCCTGTTCTTGATCCTTGTGCTCCGGGATGTGCTCATCCAGCTACAGCTCACCTCGCTGCAGAAGCCATGGTCGCTAGGTACGATCTGCAGAGCTTCGGTCGGTACTCCAATGTAGGGCGTCGAGGAGGACGCACCATCTGCCTCGCATACTGCCCTCAACCCTGAACCGCGAGGGGCTCCGCAGTATTCGGACCCGCGCTAGCTTCAGAAACATCAACTTGAGAAGCCTCGGATGAAGGATCGCCTCAGCGGCACCTTCAAGTTGTGTCGCGTTCTGTGTTCATCCGGGTTGCGGTGCCTCAGGCGTTGACCCAAACCACACATAGCCAAGGCATCGAGCAGTGCAGCTTCTGTGTGTGTGTGTGTCACTTCGTTGAGCTGTGTATTGCCACAAACCCGTCGACAACTGATGGATGTTGAGTTTACTGAATCACACTTTGTTTGCCTGACTTGCTGCAGTGATAGTGATATCTTGCTTCGGTACTGCGCGAGATGCACCTTCACACCGTTTATTTGTCAACTTTGCTTGTCAAGGTTTCTTTTAACAGTTAAAAAGGAATCCCAACGAATCGTATTCGTATTAGTAGCTATTTAGGCTTCCTTTGGTCTATACGAATTTCGATGTACATGTCCAGGTATATGTTCATCCTTGACTTCTTCTTGGACGATGTGTGGAACTTTCTAGATGTCATAGTTCTGGTAGTGAATGGGCTGGTGATTGACAGCATCTTCCGCTACATGATGATCGACGGCACCTTTGACTTGAGGAATGGCTTTCAATCCTGGACGGACAACTTTGTATTCCTTGGTACTGCCAGCCTTGAAACTCAAGACGCCTACGAAGCCTTCGGCAAAGCTGCGAGACTGTGACCCGATTGCCACGCAAGTTTGTTTCGCTAGGTAGTGAATGAGATTCCAAAACATCGAAGGGCGCGGTTATGCAAAGTCTTCTTCCAGAAGACACTAATTCTAAATCCTACAGAAAGGTACGACACCTTCATCACGCTCTCCTCCTTGAACGGACTCGTCTTGCTCCTTCGTTTCGCCAAGTACTTTCGTTCCGTGAGCTCTCTACGCCTCGTCCTGACCACCTTGACGGCAGCGCTGCAAGAGCTCTTCATGAGCCTAGGCTTACGATAATGAAGGGTTTGGGTTTGGTTTTGGTATGTTTTCCCCCCTCCCTCTCCCTTGTTTTGCTTTTATCTTCAAGGGCTCCTTTAAGAGTTTCTTTAAGAGAATCCTTGAAAGGTTCCTTTAAAGGGGCCCTTCAAGGAAACCTAAACCCTAAACCCTAAACCCTAAACCCCTAAACCCTAAACCCTAAACCCTAAACCCCTAAACCCCTAAACCCTACACCCATGGATTCCTGAAGAACCGAGGATCTCGGCGCTGATCATCGTCGTGCTGGTAGCTGTGGTCTTGCTCATGCATAATCGCTTCGGCGTGATCTTCCACAGATCTCAGGTTCAATATAGAGGCCTACATAATTGCCTCTGCTATTTTGGGGGTTCCTTATATTGTAATTTATAGTTTTTGATATACCCCAAAACCCTATTCTAATTCTTAAGGGCCCAAAACCTTATTCGAATTATTAAGGCCCCTACATTCTGTCGGGTTTTGGCTTTTGAGCCCTGAGCCCGGCTTCCGGGTTCACCGGCTGTTTGGCTCGGCGGTGTCATGACATTTTCGACGTATGAAAGGTGGAGCTAAGCCTAAGTGTCCTGGTATATGCAATGATGCTAATCCCTAAAACCCTGAACCCTATAAACCCTGAACCCTAGACCCTAAATCCTAATCCCTAAGATCTAAACCCTAATCCCCAAAACCCTAAACCCTAAAACCATAAACCCCAATAGTAAAGCCCAGAAAGCTCCCAGCCTTGAGGAGTAACTTCCCTGAAGTCTCAGATTGCCTTTGAGATTCCGGGCCCTTACAGGGTTTAGAGTTTTCGGCATTATGGGGAAGTCAAGGATACGGCACGCTGGAGAGTTCCAGTCAGTCCGTGTTTTTCTTCCTGACGGGCTCTTTCGACACAGCTGACCTCTATGGAGCTTTTCCAATCTTCTTCCTCTTAGTCACGATCTTGTTTCAGATATCCTTCTTGCTCATCTTGAATCTGCTCATTGCGGCGATCATCTACCGGTGGAAGGATAGCCGACGTGACGCCGAAGATTTCTCCGTCCTCAGCTTTTGGACGACTCTGCGCGACAATGTTAATGTTTTCAAGGGGAACAAGGCGGGTGGCAGAAGCCACGACGAGAGGAATCTGCATAAGCTCGATCCCTCGTTCTGGAGAAATCTCGCGGTTCTCAGGCACATCGACAAGCTGGACGAAAGTGGCAAGATCAACTTCAACGCCGATCGCCGATCGGAAAGCCCCAAGGCAAGGAGAGAGGAGGAAGAGAACCGGGAAAGAGATGATGAGGAGGCAGGTCAACCAATTCTGAATCCCTAAACCCTAAGCTCTGGAAAACTAATCCCTGAGCCCAACCCAACCTCAAGACAACAGGCCTCTTACGACGAGGAGGCTGGCATACTGGACTTTAGCAACCCACAGGACCAGCACAGGCTTCCTGGCTCTGCGGATTTTGAGATGTTTTGAAGTCATGTAGGGACCTTGATGATTACCTCTACTATTTTGGGGGGCTCCTTATTATAATTATAGTATAATGGGCCCCAAAACCCTATTCTAATTGTTAAGGCCCCTATATTAGGTTTCGGGCCGATGGTTCGCCCAACATCCGGCGAAGGTTAAGAGGCAGGATTAGCAGCAGCTCGGAGGGGACATCACTGCAGGGCTTTCACCTTTAAGTGTGCATGAAGCTTCAGACATGCATCTTCGGACAGCGAGGTTCATCACCGTCTTCAAGAAAGCACACATGGAGACTTGGCTCGAAATACATCCTGGGATCGTTTCACTTGGTGGGATTCTAGAAGAGCACCGTTTAGGGTTTAGGATCTATAGGGTTTGAGTCTGAAGCCCGAAGCCCCTTGAGCCCGAAAGCCCCAAACCGTCAAGCCTGGAGCCGGACCTGTCCGAGGAGATAGCCTCACAGATGACGAAGGACGTAGTGACGCCCGACGAAGAGGCCGAAAAGAGCCACGCAGCCGGAGTGGGGAGCTTGGAAGACAAGCCAGACACCTGGACTTCTGAGGCTTCTTTTTGGGGTTAGGGCTTTCGGGTTTAGGAGTTTAGGGTTTAGGGTTCCTTTAGGGGTTAGGGGTTAGGGCTTTAGGGTTTAGGGTTTAGGGCTTACGGTTGAGAGTTTAAGGTTTAGGTGCTTGAGCGAAGACAAGCCTGACACCTGGACTTCTGAGGGTTTCTTTAGGGAAGATACGAGGGCACAAAGATGCTGTAAGGGTTCTGTTAAAGGTATCCCAAAGGTGTAATTTGTAGCTCAGAGTTTACAGATTTATAAGGGTTCTGTTAAAGGTATACCAAAGGTGTAGTTGGGGCTTAGAACTCAGAGTTTAGAGATTTAGGTGCTGAGGGCTGTAGGTTTGACGACGAGTGCGAGGGCAGTAGGACTTCGTCTGCGAAAGCCAGCTAGTCGAACTGATCACAGGTTTACAAAGCAGTCCCTATAGATCTGTAATTCTTTCCAACAGTAGCTGTTTTCAGTAGATCGCCATAAACAGCGGTTTTGATCGATCACTTGGTTTTGTACGGCCCTTGGTTGACCTGGTATGTGCGTCTCCGCTTTTTGCTTCGAGTCAAGTTCAAGAATCCCAAAGGGCTAGGTACTGTTATTGAGGATACTTTGCCAAATCATAATAGCAATTCCTGCTATAGAAATCCCACATTCTACGACACAGGCAGACTTGCCGGTCGTAGTGTTAGTTTGGCAGACACGGTCTTGGGGAAGCTCTCTAGTTCTGCGCTTTGCTCTCCTCAATCGGATTGTCATAAGTGTATGTCACCCATATACTAAAAATCAACGAAATCTTCTCCAAGTTTCCAGAAGTGCTCCTGTAAGCCGAGGAACTGATGGATCTGCAAGCACATGTCGAGAAACGCTGGGAGCAGGACGCGAGTTAAGGGAACGTTTCCCTCCAGGATAGAAGGGCTTCCTTGCGGGGCTTAGGTTTCGCCACGTGGTCGAACTGCGCTGTATCAGGCCGTTGCGGGTGCAGGTCTTGTGCTGGCCAAGGGCCAAGGGTGATCGAAGGGGGTTGGAGTTGGTTGATTTCGTAATTAGTAATGAGGGCTTGGAGGAGTAGGGCAAGTAAAGCTGAGCAACTGCCCACCCTAAGCCCTAAGACCTAAAACCGTTCGCCCCAAAGCCCTACACCCTTCAGCTCTAAACCAGGAGATGGAAGCAGAAGCGCTGGGAATCGTCGAAGATCCCCAGGCGCCAAGCACGGTGCAGACGATTCAAGACAATCTGAACCATGGCAGTTCCGCCAGCAGCCTTTGGTTTAGGGTTTAGGAGTTTAGGAGTTTAGGGTTTGGGGTTTTGGTGGTGCAAAGGACCAAGGAGTCGTTCAAAGTATGAAAACCTCTAACGTACCTCAAAAAGCCGAGGTTCAGCCGACTTTTAAAGCCCTATGAACATGAAGTCTAACTCAATCAGGAGATATACCCTAAGCCCTAAAACCCTAAACCCCAGAGAGATTGCCAGATCGTCACAAATCCACGTTTCATTGACGACAGACCCGCAGGTTAAGGGGATAAGATTAACTTTAGAGTTTATAGGGATTAGGGGCATAAAGTGCGAAAGGGTATAGGGTTAGATCTTTAGGCTTTTTTTGCGGCCTGAATATCAAATTTGTAGTGCTGCGGTACCACGAACTCACTACTGAAAAAAGGGTCCTATGTTGATCATGTCGTCATATACTTCAAGTCGCCGGTCTTGAAGCGAACAGTCCTTCCTATACCCCAAGCCCCAACCATAACCGCACTCACCAGCGCCCGAGATGTAAAGTTCAAGGCTTAACAGTATATTCCATCGGAATATGTAGCACAATCTTCCTGTATCGCCTTGCTCTGAAACTATAGAAAGACCCCCCACGGCCGAGTCTAAATATTAAGGCTCTTGAATCAGCGCCAAACCAAATTGTCGACGATGAGGGTTTATGGCAGATTGGATTGGTCTCCGAGTTTTAGCGACATGTTCAATAGGGTGGGAGTTCTTGTAGCGGGGTACCTTTCCAGGGTCTGTTTGTAGTACAGTACTGGCATGTCATCCTCTGAAGAATCCACACTTTTTCGGAAACTGGCAGCCCGTATTCAACATGAGGGTAGCTCTCTGAATTAGAGTCCCCCTTGGTGTCCTATTTATAAGCGTACTGCATTATTTTGGGAACCCTAAACCCTGAACCCTAAACCTCAAACCCGATACCCTAAACCCGAAACCCTAGCCCTAATTTAGAGGTCTACCCATGGGATGCTTGTGCCAAGGATCCTCGAGCAGCCCTACACCCACAACACACATCCCAGAAGCTATAAATTCAACCCTCGAATGTTTAGGGCATTGGGTTTGGGGTTTAGGGGTTCCCTAAACCCTAAACCCTAAACCCTAAACCCTTAAACTTGGGGTTCAGGTAAAGTTGAGGTCTTCCGAAGTTAACTTTTGACCATGAACCCTGCTTCCTGCATCGCAAGCCTGCAGAAGGTTTAGGAATTAGGGTTTAGGGTTTAGGGTTCAAGCCAAAAGCCCAGAAGCCCTGTAACTCAAATCGATCGCCCTAAACCCTAGGAATCGCGAGCTGGAGAAATCGAGTCATCCCGCAGAGGCACCCTTTCTGGAAGCTCTTGAGGGTTTTGGGTTTAGGGTTCAGGGGTTTCGGGGTTTAGGGTTCAAAGGCTTTAGGGATTTAGGGGTTTAGGGTTCAGAGGTTTTAGGGGTTTAAGGGTTTAAGGTTTGGGTCTTGGGACCGAGGGTTTAGGGGTTTAGGGTTTAGGGTTTAGGGCTTAGGGCTTAGGGCTTTGCCTTTTTGACGGTCTTCTTCACTGTAGGATGAGAGGTTTGCACGTTTCCGGCTTAAGGCTTACTTGTTTTATTGTTTTCTGGCTTAGGGGCATGGAGAGTCAGCGTTTACATGTCCTTTGCAGCAGTGCATGTATGTACCTTACTTGCAAGCTTTAGCCGGGGCTTGCATCTGTCTGTACATTCGTGGATTGGAATTTTGTGGTTTCGCCCGTGAAGCTGAGGTCGTTCAGAGTTTCGGGTGTTTGCCTCGTTTTCTTACAAAAATCCTGTATTCCTTAGAGCCTTGGATTGCGGCCATTCGGGCATGGCTTCATGCTCAGATGCCACGTAAACGTCCCAAATATGTCCAGTTTGTTAACTCGCTTGAGCCCTAAACATCCCGATTAAGACCCCTGTGACTACAGGTGCAGGTCATCCTACAGCTGAAAGCTACGCACACGAGAATCTACACATGCACGAACTGAGTGAACTAATACTACTAATACTACGTAATTGAAACCCCGGACGAGACCCTTAGCCCCTATGTGAATCCTCAAAAGCATCTTACCCGCGATGCGACCAATGCCCTACTACCCCAACGCCGTAAACCCGAAGCCCTACAACCCCAAGCGCCCTACACCCTAAACGCCCAAACAAAACACTGAACACCTAAACCCTAAACCGTCGGAACTTTGAGGAGATTTGGCTGGATGCTTTGCTGACAGTCTTGGAAGATGCAAACGCACCTTGCGCAAAGAATAAGACTGTAGAGTCTGGTGGGGAATTTGTGGTTCAGGGTTTTTGGGTTGGAGTTGTTCGGGTTGAGGGCCTAAGTTGTAGGGTTGAGGACTTTCAGTTCGGTGTTGGAGCAGGTAACCGTTAAGTTGATCAACAGAGTTTGAAGACTGCACTCGGGGCCAGCTGACTTAGCAACAGAGTTTCCAAAAAGAGGGACCCCCCGCCCCCAATATGGACCCTAAACAAGCGGTTTAGAAGCCTCGATATCAAGACCCATAGCGGGATATCCATCATCTAGAATCCAGCAGCTCTTTGCTTGGATTTTCAGATTGGACGGATGAACCCGTTGTGAAGCTGGCCAGTCAGCAGTCAGGGGTTGAACCTATCGTGGTTCAGGAATTAGGGGTTCAGAGGTTCAGGATCGCTAGGGCTGACTGCTTGCATGCTAACCCTCCCTGGATTGACCAGCTAGTAAAGGGCGCTTTCATTTAGAGGATACTTCCCAGACTTAATTCTGGATCGGCCCCTAAACCCGAAACCCGAAACCCTAAACCCTAAACCCTAGCGCAGCTCCTACCGGTAGTTCAGACAGTGTCCTAAGGAGTTTGCTGAGTCGTCGTAGCAATGCTCAACAGCCACAGCCGCCCACGCACAGCCGAGCAGTACGATGGCGAGCATGTAAACTATGTACGGTGCTGTCACAACAACTTTAGTTACTTGTTAGTCCGTTGATGATGTTTGGACCCTCAGCGAAAATGTTGTTTGGCCATCCCAACCAGAGAAGCCTTTACAGCAGACGTGATCGCAGTACTTAGTAGTCGTAGCCAAAGCCAGAAGAAGAGAAACACCTCGATATTCCTGACCATCGTCATCATATATCATATTTCTCACCATCGTGAGCACCGTATTCGCAAGTTTAAGGGGGGGTGGCGGCAGCGGACTGTGGTGGTAATGGGGGTGGCGGTGAAGTGTCGGTGGATGTGGCCGTGGCGGTGGTGGGGGTGTCATGGTGGTGGCGCTTGTGATTGTTTCCCGCGGTCTTCTCATGTAAGTTATCACGGTGGACTACCTCGGTCTGGATGTTCTTGATCCGGGCATTATATACCCTTCCAACGCCTTCATCCTTCCCACTCACTACAACTGCGATGATCTCTAAGCCCTGAGCAAACCCTTTCAAGCCCCTAAAAAAAGCGGCCCGAACAAAAACCGCGATGCAAAGCGACCTGCAAAGGTTTTACTCGTTTTGCTCATGCACCTTGCGGCCAAAACTCTGGACCCCGAACCCCAAACCCTGGAACCTGTAGCCCGAAAGGCTTACATTCCGTATACACCCTAAACCCCAGAAGCCAACACCACAAACCTTAAGGTTTAGGGCTTTAGAGTTTAGCATCCTAAGCCATGCACCCTGCACCGCAAACCCTCAGCCCCTAAACCCCAAACCCCTGAACCCTATAATCCCTAAACCCTAAACCCATAAACCCTAAACCCCTAAACCCTATAATGCCCAAACCCTAAGCCCCATATGAGGCAATCCTGATTATACGGTTTAGGGTCTAGGGTTTAGGTTTTAAACCCCAAGCCCCACACTCGAATCCCGTGCTTCCGCCTTGCCACCGCTAGCCCAGGCACTGGAGAAGCTTCAGAAGCTCTTCCTTCCCCGGCCGATGATTGAGCCTAAGAAGGCTGTTGGGGGTCTAGGAGGGTTTAGTGGCTTCGAGTCTGATAGATCCTTGTAAAATCCTTCTGACAACTTTCGTTGGCATTCTGGATTTTCGTGAGCGAGCCTGCTAGTTTGGACCCTTCATTGGTTCCTTCCTCGGTCAGCAAGAAGTACGGCTTGCTTCCTATAACAAGGAAGCAATGCAAGGGCAGGAAAGCACTGTGTTGGAGGCAATGGTATAGGGTTTAGGGTTTGTCTTAATATGCTGTAATACAGAAGCCTCCCGACATATACTATTTCGTGGGCCCCCTTATTATCAGTACAACTATCACCCACCTCCTGCGTCAGACAGTCTGAACCAGATCACTAGTAGCATCGTCATGCTACGTCGCCACCACGCGGTCCCCTCCCCACCATCATCTTAATTTCAACATGTCAAGCCCATTAGTTGAAGGCCTCGGCGTTTGCGTTTGCCAGCATCCTTGCAATTGTGACATGTGCCAACATCTCCATCACATGGTTCGTCATCCTAGGCAGTACCATCATCATTGGTAGCTTCAGTACTGGCAGCATCCTCGTCGTCCTTCTCCGCGTCGCCAAAATCATGGTAGATATCATCAAAGTAGACTCGTCGTAGTCAAACAAGTCTTTTTCCTCGTGCAGCTACGGACTTAGTCTTTGTTCCTAACCTGTTGAAGAATCCTTCCGCACATCGAAAGGCCCATGAGTGGAGCGCCTTCATCCGGATGCTTTCCTGGTAGAGCAGCCAACCTTTGTCCGCCTTTCTTTTCGGGTTTTGGAATAGGCTGCGGAAGACCGAGTCGGGGGTCTTGGGGCTGCTGGGTTGAGGAGTCATAGATGAATGGTCCATGCTTCACCCGTTCTCAGTATCGTTTGTGTGGCTGCTTTTGTGTGGGTGCTGTGGATGTTTGGTTTATACAAGTTCGTCATGGCTCTTTTCACGCACACACACACACACGAACCATGAGTGATAAAGAGAGAGAGAGAGAGAGAGAGAGAGTCAGAGAGAGTGAGAGAGAGAGAGAGAGACAGAGGCAGACTGGCAGAGAGATCTCTCTTTATCCCCTCCTCCTCTCGCCTCTCTCTTTTCTCTCTCGTGCAGGTGCTTACGTACGTCACATTGTTAGTTAGCTAGCAGTGTGCGTGCAAGTAAGTAAGCAAGCAAGTCAGTAGGTAAGTAAGCAAGTAAGTAAGTAAGTAAGTATGTATGTATGTATGTATGTATGTATGTATGCCAGGATGCATGCGTACGACGTCACACGCTTTGTATACATACCTCGTACTGATGCGCACATACATGATATGCACATGTTGTAGACTTCACCGGTTCCGAAGGTCCTGTTTGGGATTATACCATTCGGCCAACTAAGGAAGAAACTGATTCTGGAGCGGCGGCTCAACCATTTCCTCCGTTGGCTGCAGGAGGAGGCTTGAAATTCCATGTTTCATATCTATGTTCCGTGTATACAACAGTGCAAGACAACGCTATTCAAGTTTCCAGTTTGTGGTCTCTTCGGCTGGAGAGCCATATCGAAAAGTAGCTCCGGGGAGAGTAATTCAAGCGCGCTCAAAAGGTACGAGCTGTCATCTTGTAATGTTGAGGCCTGAGAGATTTAGTGTTCTGGTGTCACTTATCATACTAATTTTGGTTGGTAATTTCATTACCATGATTATCACTACTTATTGTTGTTGCTATTGCTGTCATTATCATGAGTACGATGGCGATTCCGATCATGATCATTATTCTTATTGTTAGTTGTGGTAGTCGTCGTCGTAGTAGCAACAGTAGTAGAGCAGCATCGGTTTCAGGGGTCCTTTTGCATTTGTTTATATACCCCTCCCCAAACCCTGTCCTACAGCACCTTCCCCAGAGAGCACCCAAGCCCATCCTTCAGGGTATTCTAGGTGTACGCTTTGGGGCTTTGGGGTATTGGTTTGGGTTTAAACTGGTTTTTAGAGGTTTTTAGGATCCACGGGGTGTCGGGTTTAGGCTGGGAGCAGCCTCGCAAGGCCCGCGTGAAGCACTACGAGTACGTCCGGGAGATGGCGGTATCCAAGGCACCGACACCAGAGGGCAAACCTAGAACCCTGAACCACCACAGCCTACTGTTTCGTAGGTTCTCAATATAAATCCCTGATGTGGATTGAACAGGACCGTAGAAACAAATCGGCTTAGTTGGGTTAAGGCTACGGTATATCCTGAATCCATCCCTCAAACGCCAAACATTTGACCCTGAAGCCGTGAATCTCGAAGATCCACACCCCAGCAAGCCCAAAACACTAAATCCAAAGCTTTCCAGGATACTCTTGTAGAACCTCTGTAGTACCTCTATAGAACCTTCATACTACCCTTATAGAGCCCTCATAGCGTCGTATAACTCTAGCTTCCCAGGAGCGAGTTCTCAAACAGCAGTCCTTGGTCCTGCCGCTTTGCCTTTGCGATTGATCGGCTGCCAGGGTTTAGAATTCAGGTGTTAGGGTTTGGGGTTTGTTTAGGGTTTAGGGTTTAGGGGTTTAGGGTTTAGGGTTTAGGGGTTTAGGGTTTAGAACTCAGGTGTTCGGGTTTGGGGTTTAGGGATCTGTGTCTTGTTTTCTACACGGCTCAGGGTGGAAGGTTTCGCATCTTTAGGTTGGGGTTTGTTACGCTTTAGGCATAGTTTGGGTTTGGATTCCGTCTCCTGCCGGTGGTGACGATGGCAAGAGTACCTAAACCCTAAACCCTAAACCAAGACCGTGTCAGTGTCGGCCTCGACATGGTCCTCTCCACCGTCGAGGTGATCACAGATGTCGCGGTATATTTAGTCGAGGTTTGCGATATCGTCGTAGCTGCAGCAGCGGCTGCTGCAGTAGGAGGAGGTGGAAGGGAAAGAAGAAGATAACCAGGAGGCGGATGAGGAGGAGAAGCAGAGTGTGACACAAAACTATAAACACTACATTCATCACCATCATCATCATCATCGTCACTGTGACTATCACCACCACGCGCCGCATCAATAGGATTCGGCCCTCCGAAGAAACTCAGCTAGTGGCCAAGGACGGACTACCTTCAGACGTTGGACGTCCAGCAGCTTGGGCTGAAAAGGTTTGTTGAATTGGTGCCTTTTGGCAGGCAGCATGGCAAAAGAGTGTCGCATGAAACAAATACGTTGAACTAGCCTGTGCCCGCCCTGTTGACTTGTCTTAGAGACCCCAGCACAAAGTCTTCAAACCCAAAAATTTCTCGACGAGCATGGTCACCATTCTCAGGATCGAAAAGCTGACGGCAGAAATCAATCTCTTGGACAAAAAGAATTTGTCCATGAGAGCTCATGTTTCACCACTCCTGTAGGTGGGCCGCAGAGCCCAGCTCAATTCGAGTTGGCAGGGTGCAGTGCTTCGTGCTGATAAGTACTTCTGTCTCGAGCAGCAGGTTGGCTTATCTGACCTGAAAGCCAAGATCTGCAGTGCAGTAGCAAGAATATATAAGCCTGCATAGTTGCCCATAGGGAAACAGTATATTAACACATCACTGTACGCAATACTCAGTTCTAACTATTCAGGCCCCCATATTAGTATTAGCCACACAGCTCGAAGAAGATGCCAAGAGGTGCATCGATCCTGGCGACAAGATCTTGCAAGTAGTTCACGAGTTGACGCGGAGGAAAATTGGGGAGGGCTCCCAAACCGGCAGTTACATTCCAAAGTTTATTATGTCCAGTCTATTTGAGGGTCCCTTGATTTCTGGGAGCATCATGTTCAGGACAGGGCGCCTGCGCTGCAATGGCCTGCGCTGTCGGTTTTGTGGCAATATCCGGTTGACCTCATCTGCAGTGATGAGTACAAGACTCAGGGTTTGGGAATTGGGGTTGAGGAGCTATTTCTGTTTTTCATGGTCGCGGCTTGGTGTTGCCATTTCCTGTTGTTGCTCTCGCCCGACTGTTGATTTTGCAGACATCGACGAGGTCATCATCGTCTACATCTTCTCGATTGCCTTCACTCAGCTGGCTCAAGGGACCGTGCCGGGGCAGCATCTGTACGTTCCTAGAAATACCAAAGCCTAGGCCCAATGGTGTTTTCAATCTGTTCTTGCATGTTCTGGTCATCTCGAACTACACCCCAAAGCCTGAAACCGCAAACCAGCCGCAACAATGAGTGCAGAGGCCCTGGTCTTCTTCCAACACCCATAAGGGGGTTTCCGAAAATAGGGGACCCTAATATAGTACCCTAAATAAGAGGATCCTTATTATAAGCACCCCAAGATAAGGGACCCTAATTTTTGGAAACTCCCATAAAGGAACCCAATCTGCAACAACTCTGTGTGTTCCCCCTCCCCCTTTGTTCGGCCGCTGGCGTGCCAACCCTAAACCTAGACCCGCGAGAAAGTACTTGCTTTGTTCTATTGAAGCAAGTGTGGTTTGTAAAATAGTTAAATGTAGCCCAGAAATAAGCCGTTGTAGCTTGGAAGTTTATGTAGAGGTATCGTGTTGCTCTGTTCAAGCTACTGTATTTTGAAAAAGTACTTACAGGTAGTCTAGAAATAGGCTGCTGTAGCTTGAGAATTTATTTCGAGGTAAAACTCTTGCTTGTTCAAGCTACTGCAGCTTGTAAAAGTACCGGTGGCCTAAACCCTGGACCCTAAACCTTCTGCCGACCTTAACTGCTAGGTGGAAAAAGGTGTTTAAAAACAAAACCTAATTTGGTTAAAGGCAACCTCATGCTTTGTTCAAGCTACTCTCACTACTGTAGATTGGAAAAGTGCTTTAAGGTAACCTCTTGCCTTGTTCAAACTACTGTAGTTTGAAAAAGTAAAAGGTGACATAGAAATAATAAGCTACTTACAAAAGAAGCTAGCCTAGATCTGAGGGTCTCAGTAGCCCCGGAAGATTGGCATGCAGTTAGCTATCACATGCCAGGAAATCTTGAAGAGCTTAAGGCCCGAAGGCTTTTTCCCTTCTTCCGGAGTTTGTGGTGGACTGTGTAGTTCCAGGAGAGCATTCGTTGTGCACCCGCTGGCTCGCTGAGGTGATGGGCTCTGTCTACTTTCCGACCGCTGGGGTGCCTACTGATGTGGAAGTTCCAGAATAGATTGCAACTCAAGGTAGAAGGACCCTATTATAGTACTATAGTACCCTTTAAGGGGGACCCGATTATAGTACCCTGTGGTACCTTATAGCTTCATAATGAGACCCCGAAGAGAAAGACCTCAATAGCCGAATGTGAACAGGATCCAACAACATGTCCGCTCCCAGTCCCTAAGGGTCCATGTACCCAAATAGTAGATACTTTGGCCTTAAAGTAGTCCCTATGTAGGTACTTTGGGGCCAATGTATATACTATATGAATACATGGACCCTTAGGGAGTGTGCATGTTGTTGTTCGTTCGAAAGCTCTTGCTCGAAGTCACGTCTCTTGCAGAACTGCTAAACCCTAAACCCTTAGACCCTAAACTCCTGTAGCCTAAACCCTAAACCCTTAAACCCTAAACTCCTGTAGCCTGAAGCCTTCGCCGCAGCACCCAAGCCCCTTCAGTCTTCTGAAGTGGCCGTTGAACGTGAAAAGTTGGGTTTCTGGGATTCGGGGGTAGTTCTTTCTCAAAGGCATTCAACATCAGGTCTTCATCCAGAGACAGTGAGGTTGTAATCCGGCTCAACCTCCTCTCCAATGGATGCGAGTTTCCGAAACTTTCGCCACCTTGAAGACTAAACTCTTAAACCCTAAGGCCTTGAATGGGAAATCGTAGTATGCTTGCCATTCCGACCGGAAGTCAGAAGCCGCCATGCTAACTAGCCTAAGCCCTAAGCCCTACACAAAACCTAGCACTTCCGACACATGTTGTTCCCTTGTTTTGGTGTGCGGTTTCAGAATCCAGAGATTTGATTCCAGTGTTTCAGATTGCTGCAGTACCAAAGTCGCGTAAACCGAAGGCCCTTCAATGAGGCGAGAGAGCTGGCTTCATCTCGAAGAACACGTACCACAATGTGCTATATAGCAATTACACAAATATAAAATCAGACTAGTAGCGATGGTCGATTTCACCCCTGAGTCACACAAGTCTACACGCCTGTGTTGCAGGAGCCAAGTTCGACACGTATTTCGGAAACTGCATATTCACGAGATCCCACTTTTCGTGTGAACAAAGCCCGAAACCCTAAACCCTAAACCCTAAACCCTAAACCCTAAACCCTAAACCCAAACATGAATCAGCCGTGCTCACGAGGTCCAGCATGCCATGTACTCGCTCTTGATCTACGGAACGTTCCTCGACGACATCGCGCCGTTTTGTGATGCCGTAGGCGCGTCTGGACCATCCCTTCTTGGGCCAAGAAATCTAAGCTTTAGGGTTTTGGGTAACGGACGAAGCCCAGGCTGTGACATGCCAGCAAGCCGTTTAGGGAGTAATTAGGGCTGTGTTCCGCCTATAACCCAGCCGTTCGAGCCTCAATTCCAAGCTGCTGCTCCGAACTTCGAAGCACCGATCTAAACCCTAAACCCTAGGCCCTATAAACCCTAAACCCTAAACCGATAGGTGCAGAGTCGATCGCCTGTTTGACTTTGGTCTTCATCTTTTCCATCTTGTCTGCAGCGGCCCCAGACGGTGCTTATCACGAAACTGGGTTACCGGAGGCTCCATGCAGGCAGGGATGCCTACCCTACTTCGCTGTCAAGGTGCTTCTTCGACTTGAAAGTATTCCGGGCCGGATCAGCTTCCCGATAGCTTGCCCGGCTGTATCTGAGGAATTATGCACAGTACAGTGGTTGTTGTGACTGTCCTAGTTCATCTACCCACTCACAAACAGTCACAGGGCTAGCTTGACACATTCGACATCAAACATGTTATGCACTGTTGCACACTTGCATTCTTTACATATATGATATGTGTGTGTTATATAAGTTTCACAGATTTTTATCTATATATATATATGTCTGTCCGTCTGTCTGCCTGCCTGTCTGCCTGTCTGTCCGTCTGTCTGCCTGGCTGTCGGTCTGTCTGTCGGTCTGTCTGTATGCATGCATGCCTGCATGCCTGCATGTATATATTACATATAACAAAGTAAACAAAGACTCTATATATATGTAAACATGTATATGCATATACACACACACACTCTCTCCATTGCACAGACTAGTATCAATGCATCTTACGTAGGCCACTAACCAAGCCTTGACACATACGCAGATCATAGAACTATGTAAACACGAATGTAAGTAAGTACACACAGACAAGGACAAGTACTTGTGTAACGGCTCATGTATACCTGCATGCGTTGTGCTTTTGAGTGCTGCAGTGGTTACCGGTTCAAGTTGTCAAGCCTATGTATAGAAGATGTTTGATATCGTTGCATTAAGACTCCTACGCCTTTAGGTGCCTCTATCTGGAGCACTGCACATGAGGCATGCACCGTTTTGAACCTGCTCATTGGTGTCCTCTGCGAGGACGTTTGCAGTCAGGGCTTGCTGCAGGTTTTACAGGCTCAACGGACTACGTCACGTAACCAGAAGGAATCCCTGTCGGCAGAGGCGTGTTACAGCAAGGATCCTGCTTTGTAGGGTCTGTATTGGGGTACCCTGCCTCTTGAACCTCAACACCTCAAAGTCTAAACCCAGTCTCTGCACTCACAAACTTTGACATGTCATTCCTAGCCCTAAGCCGTAAACCCTAAACTGCCCTAAACCAAAAACCCGAAAGCCCGAAAGCCCTAAATCATAAGGGGAATCCTTAATAGAACCCTTAAAGGAGCCTTAAAGTGGAGCCCTTCAAGGAGCCCTGAAAGGAATCCTTAGTAGCACGGCTAAGGGAACCCCTAAAGGAGCCCTTAAAGGACTCCTTCGTAGAACCCCTTAAAGGAGCCCTTTAGGGCCACCTAAACGCTGAACCATGAACCCGAAACCCTAAGCCCTAAATCCGAAACCCTAAATCCTAAACCCTAAATCCTAAACCCGAAACCCGAAACCCTAAACCCTAACCCTAAGTCCTAAACCCTAAACCCGAAACCCGAAACCCGAAACCCTAACCAAGCCAACAAGGGCCATCTCGGAGCGCAGGTTGTGTCACAAGTGGCGCAAAACGAGAAGGAAGACATCATGGCTCTGGGCTGAAACGGTTTAGGGTTTAGGGTTTAGTATGTAGGGTTTAGGATTTAGGGCTCTGGGCTGAAACGGCTTTGGGTTTAGGCCTGGATGTGTCAGCCCAACTCCTGATTTCAAGCAGGAAATCCGAAAAGAAGGCTGTTTTAAGCTATGGCTATAGGAGCCAGTGGCTGAGGGTTTAGGGTTTTGGGTCGCCTGAGTTTTCCTACTCACGATGTATTTTTTGTGGAAGAACTCGCATCTCGCCTGGGCATGTGAAGGAGATAGCCTTTGAAGTTGGGTTTGGGCTCTGGGTTCAGGATGCAGGGATCTCTATGAGGGTTTGGGGTTTGGGGGTTGAAGTTTAGGGTTTATAAGGTCATATAAGGTCACAGCGGTACTTCACGACGTTTTTGTTTAGGACCGGTACTTACTATCACTTCCTGGTACGACCTGCGCGGCTTCTGCAGCCCTGCGATGCTGTCTAGAGTTGTGTGAACCGTAAATGTCACCACAAGCACCGTGCCCTGCTGCCAAACCTCCGATGTTCTGCGATCTCCTTCGCGTCTATCGAAGCTGGCGAGTCTGATGAGAGCTAAGTAAATTCCGAGGTGCAGTTCGTCACCATGAAGCTGCAAACCTTGCTCCAATCACTGGACTGACATGGGCTTATTGCTCGGACTGGCGGTCGTTTTGTGGTGGTTATGCTTATGATGATGGTGGAGCAGCACTAGTAGTAGTAGTAGTAGTAGTAGTAGTAGAAGTAGAAGTAGAAGTAGAAGTAGAAGTAGAAGTAGAAGTAGAAGTAGCAGTAGCAGTAGGAGTAGGAGTAGGAGTAGGAGCAGGAGCAGGAGCAGGAGCAGGAGGAGGAGTAGGAGTAGAAGTAGTCGTAGTGGTAGTAGTAGTAGTAGTAGTAGTAGTAGTAGTAGTAGCAGTAGTAGCAGTAGTGCGTAGGAGGAACAGCAACAGTAAGTAGCAGCCGTACTAAGCTGGGTTTGACGAGGGATGCGAGTTGTGCTAGGCAGTAGGACCATAGTAGTAGGTGCTTGCAGGAGTAGTTGGTTGCATTTACTGTGTTACTCTTTTTGCATGATTATCTGCAGCACTTGCGATCGACCCAAATTTCGCAGTTCATTTTGCCTCACAGGACATCAACAACGACGGCAGGATTTCCCAGGCTCCGGGAGTGACATGTAGTTGTTGCAGGAGATATGGCACGTTGTGTATCTACAGTTTAGTGCTTCAGAGAGAGTGTTGAGACAGCCTTGAGAACGAAGTGCTAGGTACCTATTCGGGATAACGGGTCGCCAACTGTTAATAAATATCAAACAAAGGCCCATGTTTTTTGGCCTATAGAACCTAAGACTCAAACAGTTTTGAGGTCTGCTGAAAGTTGATGCCAAGTATGAGAGCAGTGTCATGAAACCGGAAGCACGGTCGGCGCGAGGCAGAGTTCGTGCAAATCATGGAGCTGCCGGAAGCGGTGCTGGCGTTGGAAGAGGCACGGCCTAAAAGCTTCGAAGGGTAATCGGCTCTTAAAATTGAGGTTTTGAGGTCGGGGGTCATATCCTCGAATCAGGGTCGTGGCTTAGGATTCCGTTAGTGTTACAAGAAGCCACCAGCTTAGACACACAAATTCCTGCAAAACAAGCCGATTGAAGTGAAAAGACAATCAGCCCTGAACCCTCATATCTTGCCGTTGCAGTACAGGCACTTCACTCCACCTCGTTGATCTGGGAGCCCAAAATAGACCCTAGTTTGTCAACATCCAAATGTGCGGCCGATATCGAGAGCACCCTAAACTCTATAATCCACGGCTTAGGGTTTAGGGTTTAGGGTTGTGTAAGGCCGAAGTATATGGGTAGTTGTCTAAACTGGGGCTTTGCGGTACCCAAGACAGTACGGCTGTCTTGTAACAGAGAAAGTAAGACACGCCCTAGGTTAGAGAACTACCCAGGAAAGTATTTGCGTAATATGGGTGCCTAAATAGTTACCTATACTATTTTGGGGGTTCGGTATGAAAGTTATAGCATAATATGGCCCAAAACCCTCTTCTAGTTCTTAAGGCCCCTATATCACATGGACCCTTAGGGATTTTGATAGCAGGCGCCCTTTTGACCGAGAGCCCTGGTTTAGGAGTGAGGGTTTTTAGGGTGTAGGGTTCAAGGTTTGGAGTTTCGGGGCTTAGGGGTTCATGAAGGCTTTACGGGTTACCCATAGCCCCCGTAGTAGTCCTTTTTGGGCTTACCTTAGAGGATTCCAAACATGAACACCAAAAAGGAACTAGTATGGGGTCTATGGGTAGGGTGAAGGGTTTACAGCTTTAGGGTCTAACTAGGATTACGGGTCTAGGGTTCAGTGTCTTCAGAGAGAGCTTTGGAGTTTCGGGTTTCGGCGTCTGCGCATCACAGCTCTTCGGTTAGAAATGCGGCCCGTTTGATTTTGCTGCTGCCTGTTGCGATACTCCTCCTCCAGTCCCGACATTACAATTTAAACCCTAAGCCCTAAACCCCTAAACCCCTAAAGTTTATACACTGACTTATGTTAATCATTTGGCCTTACAGTAACAGCCGGTGCCCTAAACCCCAAGACTCTTCCACGATGTTACACAAGAAACGCTGATCCCTCGGGTTTGGGGTTTCAGGGCCTAGTGTAGGGTTGCCAGGGGATTCAATACAGGGCTTTGGGTTTGGGGTTTAGGGTCCTCGAAAGCCCCGAACCCCAAAACTCTCCTTAAAACCACCAAAACTCCAAATGCAGGTGGGCATCGATGCTGTCTCAATCGTGGACTTTACTGAATACATCTTCGGTGGGGAGGCGAAAAACACCTGGTGTCCGTGCTTTTAGGGTTTAGGTTTTGGTTTACATGGTGCGCCCTCTTTATGGGGTTCCGGCGATATGGGGTTTCTGAGAGACTTGTTTTGCTTAGGATCTCCATCTTTGCTTAGCATCCCTCAGTCTCTTGATGGCTTGATTTCCAGAATTGTGATGTAGGATTAGGTGGTAAGTCTAATGATAGAGGTACCTGAGTTTTATGTGGGATTGTAAGAAGCATTTCTGGGATTGGGGGTTTTAGTTTCTTTTGCCGGTTGCAGGTTTCAGAATTGCGGAGTTTCGGATGGAAGCGGGTTGCAGCGCACTGCCGCCTTGACCAGCGGGAGATCTATGACGATACAAAGGACTCTATCTAGGCGTGGCGCAGATGTTTCACTCGGGTTAGCTCTGCATTCAGTGAATTGCCAAGTCTGCTTCATGGTTTCAGGGTTTGTCTTGTCACGAGGAACATTGCCACTGCTGCTGCTGCTGCTGCTGCTGCTGCATTCTTTTTGCATGCTCTGCTGCTGCTACTGAGGACCGCTACTTCTACTTACTGGTATGCCTAGTGCTTCTTCCAAGGGTGTATTTATGCACTAGTTCTTTGGCAGCCACTGTGAGCATTGTGCTGACACTCCGAAAAAGTCATCAAGCCCAAAGGGTCTAAGTACCAATATCATATGGGTAGTTGTCAAAATTATGGTCCCTTTTGGGGTACCCTAAATAATAGGTGCCGTATTATAATAAGGACCCCAAAAGGGACCATAATTTTGACAACCACCCATATGTGCATTGTCGGTAGTTGGGACCCAAGAGTATGTACTACACTCGTACTTGGACTCTTTTGGGTGCCGTTTGTTGCGTTTGCTTCGTTCGCTGTCTGGCTCGGTGCCGTGTTCATACCTTGTTTGGTTCATTATGCTTGCTATTTGGTTTTCTCTGGAATTTCTGAATATCCCAGATAATTCCTGATGTTGCTATGAGTGAGATTATGTAATTATGTATCGTGTTGCGTATTTTGCGCATGGGCACATGCAGTAGTAGGCACAATCGCAGCTCTTTGCTGTGTTCTGACTCTCTGCCACTACTACCGCACCACTAAACCTTGAACCCTCATCCCCTAAACCCCAAACCCTCGACCGTCCAACAGAATCTTCCGGCTTAGCGCACTCCCAACGGCTGCTCGCCAGTGCGTGCAGGACAACCCGGAAGATGCCCTAAACTTCAGCAAGTTCATGGAGGCCGATTCGGTGGGCTTATAGTTGAGGGTGCTGGGCCTATCACCATTGTTAATCGGATTGGTCCTTATAGTTCTCCAATACCCAACCTTTAAACTTTTTTGGCGCTTATAGTTTAGTAGTACTCTGAAAGTTGAACCTTTTATTTTCTGGCTTCTTGGGGAAGTACGAGTCTTAGTTTTAGTCGTACTATTGGCATTGGTCCTTGTCGTGAAGCACGAGCCGCTCGAAGAATTAGTCGGGGATCCTCTCAAGACCTCAAGGATTTAGGGTTTAGGGTTCAGGGTTTAGGGTTTAGGGTTTAGACCTCAGAGTAGTTTGAGAACGAGCCTGCTTCAGAATCCCCTCCGCCCTCAAGCGAGCACAAGCTGCACTTTGGAAGCTCCTAACATAGGGGCCTTCATAATTAGAATAGGGTTTCGGGTCCCATTATATTACAATTATAATAAGGAGGCCGCCAAAATAGTATAGGTAACTATTTAGGCCCCTATGTTAGGGTGCAAGGAGCAACCCTAAACTCTCGAAGTCTTGCTCTGGTTTGGGAAAGATCAGGGGGGTCTCCCTGAGCTCTTATTGTATATGGTCTACGCAAAAGGAACCCGCTTCTTTGTCAGAGGCTCCCATATAGGGTTTAGGGTTTAGGGTTTAGGGTTTAGGGTTTAGGGTTTAGGGTTTAGGGTTTAGGGTTTTGTGGTGTCCCTCGCAACAGAAAACCTATACTGATACCCTGCTGGTCTAGTTTTGAACTAAAGGGGTAAGACTGCGGGCTTCATCATTGGAAAAGGGATTTGAGGCAGTTTGGTTGTAGCCAGGACCCCTAGGCAAGAATAACTTGCATTTATTCTGCGCCTAGAGTACACCCCATCAGGAGAGACACGGACCCTAAACCCCAAACCCTCAACCTAAACCCCAATTTCTAGCACCCGCACGCCCCTAAACCCTAAGCCCTAAACCCTAAACCCCTGCAGAGCTCCTTAGCCCCAAGGGTCCTATGTACCTATATAGTAGAATGTAGGGTTCCTATATTAGGAATTCTTATTATGATTTAGGGAAGTATCCCCCATAGCAGTACATGGGACCCTTTGGGAACAGCTCCTATATTGCGCTCAGCGCTTCACCCCTTCGTCCACAATCCTGGCCCTGGCTCTTAAACTGCATTAGAGTCCTGGGTTTCGGGCTTATAGGGCTGATGGGGTTTATAGGGTTTCGGGTTTATTATAGGGTTTCGGGTTTCGGGTTTATTGCAGGGTTTAGGGTTTAG